ATCTATCTATCATCTATCTATCATCTATTTATCATCTCTATCTCTATTTATCTCTATCTCTATCATCTATCTATAATGTTTTGAAAGAGTCAATATTCCAAATAGACTAGGGTATAAAATATATGTATTTATTTTAAAATTCTTTACTTTCCCCTATTTGGTCCAAATCCCCCAGCTTGACCTTCATAATAAGCAAATGTTATCTCAAGGCGACAATGAAAACAGAACACCAGCTGACAGGTGGCCCTGCTCTGTGCTGGAGTCACAGGAGCACATGGTGTGGTCCCCTCTGTGGAGTGTGGAGTAAGTCCTCGGGCTCCAGTGATCCACATGTACATCTCTCCCATGTCTCAGCTTTCGCTTCCCCAGTTTCATAACTGGCTCCCACACTTTGAAGATGGCCATGAAGGAGTTAGAGTGGGTCCTTTAAGAAACAACTCACCCCAATACTGGGCAGCCTGAGAAGTTCCAGCATCATTGTTTATTTCCGTTTCAGAAGCAAAACCATATCTCAGCTCAGTGTTTTTGCCTCCCCTCCATAGCATAGAGCATGGCCGTCCTTGTGGTGGAGACCATTACTTATTTATTTATATGTATGTATGTATGTATGTATTTATTTATTTTAAATATCTTTATTGATTTCAGAGAGAGGGAGGGAGAGATAGAAACATCAGTGATAAGAGAGAGTCATTGATCAGCTTCTTCCTACACGCCCCCTACTGGGGATTGAGCCTGCAACCCGGGCATGTGCCCCGACGGGGAATCGATCTCCTGGATCCCAGGTCGATGCTCAACCCCTGAGCCATGTCCAGCTGGACGAAACCCGTTACTTTAATAGCTGACTTTTCCAAATAGTTCAGTGTTTAACTGAACTTCTTTAAACTTCCCTAAATACCTCTAAACAGGAGCACCCTTACAAATGTTTGCCATTTGAGATGGACAGGATTCTAAAATATATTACCTTCTCCAGGATGTGGTGGCTAGAGCATGGGATAAGGGGGCAAAGAGAGGGGATTTTAATTCTGGCAGTTTGATCTTACCCTGGAAATTAAATGCTGACCCATGAGACTGAAATCAGACAATATCTGGAAGGTGCTTATTATGATGTTGAGTAAATGCCAATGGTCCCTAACAATAATTGGCTATCATAATCCATGGTTCTTAATCATAGTTAAAGGTGAAATGTGATCATTTCAGGTTATGACCAGCTCATCCTACAGTGTGTGGGTTGTTGGCCCTCAGAATCTGTGCTTTCTAACCTCTTTTCCCAGCTTTTAAGATCACAGGCGGAGTGGGTGGGCCCTGACGGCTGAACAGAGGCAAGAGCGGCATCCAGAAATGGTGCGGCAAATCCAGGCTGCTCCAGGGCGATGTCCTGAGGAGTGCAGTGTGGCAGAAAAGAACATTTAACAATATTAGTAATAAATTAAATAATGTCGGCTCCCAACAATAGGGTTCATGTCAAATACTGCTGAAGATTTTCTATACATCATTCCCTTGTCCACAATTGAGGCACTGACCAATGAGGCAAGAGTCTCAGGGACTTAAGTGACACGGAAAATTAAGACAGTTCTGTGTCTCCTATGAGCTTTGTTCTGTTTAAACCAATCCCCCGTTCCTTAAGCGATTCTCTTTGTCATGACCCCTCACCACAATGGTCCCTTTGGAGCCCTAAGCAAGAGACCAGGGGTCTGACCAGCTCCGGCTTTGTGCCAGGAAGCTGGGAGAGAGCCCCAAGAGGCTTTTAGGGGTGCACCTTGTGTGGCAGGAGAGGACAATGTGGGGGAAGTGAGGCAGTTGTGGTGAGGGGCCCCCAGTGAGAGTAAGCCCACTCAAGCTCATACAAATAAACATCTTCCTTCGCAGGTTGGACGCCCCTGGAAGGGACTCAGGACACCTTGACCAGTTTCCAGCAGGTTTATCTCTGGAAAGGTAAGCTCGTGAGCAGGACACTGATCACAGGAACCTGTCCGGCCGAAACCCTCGCTCACAGGGCACTCTGCTCCCCAGAGATAAAACGGGCGGTAGAGATTTTCTTTCCAAGTCCGTGCTCTGTGTGGAATAGGAGGGCCTCAGCTCTCATCAGATAAGATACCAAAGTCTGAGAGAAAACTGAGAAGCGCGGAAATTCAAGAAAGGGTGGAGGAAGGAAGTCCCGGCTCCCGGGAGATCAAGTTCGCTGACCACAGGCTGCCCTTGTTCCTGCAACGCGAGCGCGGGGGCAGCGGCAGTCACAGGACGCGTTTCTCCAGGGACTTGGCCACAGGTGCCTCGCTCCCTGAGGTCAGGGAGAAGGGGACACCCCCAGGCCCCTGCCACTGTGGATGCATAGAGCAGGGGGGAAACAGGGAGCTCACAGGAGTGCACGTTTGGCGGCTCCCTCCTGCTCGTTTGCTCTCCTCTGAGTCTGCTGAACACTGACCACCTGCGTACCTGGAGCCAGGGACTCGAAGGCACTGGGATGAGTCTGAGGACCATGGGGTGGAGAGATGGGTGAGGCACAGCCTGGGCCTGTAAGGCATCCAGCCTAGGAGGGAGAGGCAAGAAGGGCCCCATGTCATGGCCTAGGTGCTGGGCGAGAGACGCGAGGAAAGATCCCGGCCCCTGTATCACCGCCCACCCCCTCCCATGATCCCTCCTTCCAGATTGACCTGGGCCTTTCCTTGTGAAAGTGTGAAAGAGCAGAGTGACCTTGAACACATCAGTTATTCCCTCTAAGCGCAGGCTCCCGTCAGCAGTACAGCAATAAAATAGCACTTACCTGGTAGAGTTGCGCGGGCACTGGCAGGGTAACGCAGGTGAAGGGCTTGGAACCATGCCCAGCGTAAGAAATGCTGGTTAGTATCAGTGGTGGCGGCGGTGGTGAGTGGGTGAGGGGCAGGAGGGGAGGAGGAGAGGGAAGGAAGTGCCCACCATCATCTTCATTTTAAAGTGATCTGATGGGATTATATACCCTTCTCTCGGTCCTACCTATAGGGTCAGTACACAGAGTGGGGGGGCTCATTTTGGTTCATTGTTCTGGCAAGAAAAATGAGACTTGAAGTGATTAAGTGAAATGCTCACAGGAGGTCCTGGGGGTGGGACCCAGACTCTAGGTGCTTCCAAGTTATCAGAAAGTTCTGGTAAATAAGGTACTTGCTAGTGGGAAATTAAGGAATTGCTTCTCCCCAGGATATTTCCCACACTAAGCAGGAGCACCCCCAAGCTATCTCAGACCCCCTCCTCCTCATTGACTCACTGCTTTCATGGGAGAACTGGTCCAGGCTTGGACATTTTATTTAATTTCCTTAACTTCCGATGGATCTACTTATCACCTGCATGTCTGGGATAAGTTATTTTACCTCTCTGAGTCTTAGTTTTTTCAACAGTAAAATGGAAATCTAATGCCTTACCTTCACAGGGTGTTGCAAAGACCGATATTTATGAACATATTTCATTAACTTGAAAGGAGTTTGTGACTGTTACTAACTTCAATGCCAAGTTCTCTTACCGAGAGGTTGGCTGACATTCCATCAAAGGCCAAAGAGTGCGGGCTTGTGTCCCTGGACTTGTTCCAGGTCTTGTCCTGGGCACCGGGCTGCAGACATGACAATTTCTCATGTTGCCACGACCACTCTGTTGACCTCCCTTTTCTTCCCCAACATCAAAACAACAATTCTTTGTCTTGTCCTAGATTCTGACATGGGGTCTCGGTCTGAGTCTATGGGATGTGGAAGAGACACGGAACCAAGGGCATCGCCTCCACCAGAAACAGGTACCAACCCCCAGCCCTTTGTATAAACTCGGTCGTCTAGCTGTGGGGACCAGATGGTGATGTGAAGGGCCTGATCGATGGTGAACGACCCATCGACCTGGTCCGTTCTGCAGCCACGGGCTCCCTCTAAGTTTCTAGCTCAGTTACCCACTTCAGAAACATGCACAGCTCTCGGGGGGCAGCTGGCACAGAAAGGAAGGAGGAATCATGGCAGAGTCACCACTGCTACTGGAAAAACAGCCATAATAACAAAACCAGCCAAATGTATTAAAAGGCAAGGTCCCCCTGTCTGTGGCCAATGGCTGCACTTTGGTGAGGCCTGGAGTGTAAGCGGATTGCAAACACTGTGGAATTGGTCCGTAATGAGACGACTGGGAGAGCCTTCTGAGAGGAGTCGCTCTGTGCAGGGAACACATAAATGCACACCTTAGTTCACAGGGACAGGATGTGTGTGATGTCGGAGGCGTCTCTGTCCCCAGCGCCTGTGACTGCTATTCCTTAGGCAGAGCCCAAACTC